ATTTATGTTCTGTTATTATAAAAAGGCTAATCTACTAATTAGTAATGGAATGTGGTGTTCAGATTTACATAGCTTGTGGGTACACTTGTAGGTATGTACACATTAAGACCTAAAGCAAAAGAATCCAAAACCACAAAATGTGTTTCCCACTAAAACCCAGCTGGACCAGTTTAACCCGAGTATAAACTGAGGTGTAGTCTTCATAGCTTTTGAAAACATCTGTTATCACTACTCTAAATGACGAGCAAAGTCGATGGATCACATGCAAAACACATTGTTTCGCTCTTCACAAACTTGCTGAAAGGCTGAAATAAATGACCAGCGATTCTGAGCGAGTCGATGACTTAATTTTGGTATGTGGCTTGCTTAAAAGGAGTGTGGGTTTCATATGAAGGAGTGAGAAGTTCTTTGTGAAATGTGTTACTCATTGGTCCTGGGAAAGAATCTGCAAAATGAATTTCTCATTTACAACCTGGTAGTGCTTGGAAATATGGTGTCTGGGATGAGAAACATCCTCTGCACCTCTTGGCTCTTGTCAAACATGTGGATGGCACATTACATCCAAATGATCTTTTCTCTGGACCAGATGACTCATACAGAACCACGAGGTGGCAGCTTGAGTCAGAATGGATTGATATTTACACTGATTTTTAGCATGTAAATATAGTCACACAAAAGCACAGCTGTCAATTTGTTTACCCTGGGTTAGCAGTCAGTATACATATAGCCTGGTAATAGGTATGTAAGTCTGGTTGCCAGAGACAAACCTATACAAAGGATAGGTATCTGTATCAAAACCATGTATTTATTATAAATTACAATGCAACACACTTCAGTTAAAAATTCAGAAATGTATATATTTTATAGGCAAGGAAGCAACTGGATGTCAAAGAGACAGGATTTTCCTCATGTCTACCTTCATCTCTAGTTTTTTCAGCTTTAGGTTTCAAGTTGTTTTGGCTGCATGAGACAACCATCTCTTCAACACCCCCTGTTTCTCTGCCCACAACATCAGGAACTGATAAGTTTCAACAATCTGCCTGTATCCAGGTGGTACAGGTCACTGTGAATTATCATTTCAGCATTCATTCCTGAACAAGACAATCTGTCTCCAGGAACTCTGAGTACAACTTCAATCATCAGAGAGTTTCACACATTTCTAACACTCTATAATTATTCAGTATTTCATCATCCACCTTCATATGGTCACTTCCTCTATAAAGCTTTTTTTTTTTTTTTTAATAAACTTTAAATTTACAAATTTCTATGGGTGACTACAGAAATTGCCTGTGACCAGTACATCTATTAATACCGTCTGAGTGTCCACTATAGGAGGTATAAATACTGAACACTAACACACTCATATCCTATTTGTATGCATGAGCTCACACTTGTCTGTGGGTAAGATTACGTCACAGTACACAAGAGCTCCTCTCTTGTTAAAATAAAGGAAGAGGACAAACACAAACAAGTGTGCGAAGTGTTGACAGTTAAACATTTTGTATTTTTCAGATTCTTTCTTGTGTCTTGCACTTTGCTGGGCATGTCCTTATCACTTTAAACAAAGAAAAACAAAAGGATTCTAGACATTTCACATGAAGTAAGCTACTTTTATTGCCCCTTATGTCAAAACCTTCAGTATATACTCATGATCACAGACTTTGTTAATGTATAAATTCAACTCTCAGGTGAAACCAAGCTCAGCACAGGAGGCAGACAGATAATAGTCTACAGATTGTACTAGTGATATAGTTCATTGTTTTGCCTTCATCATTTTCTAACATTCCCTCATGTACTGATGAGTAAAGCTCTCACAGTGTTCAAGTTTTCACTGTTCAGTAATTGTCTTTAAAGTGTGTAACATCCAAATGAAGACAGCATTTGTGCATGATTTATGTATGATTTTCCGCTGCCAGTGAGAGCCCACTGTTCTTAAGTTTTGTACAAACTGTGATTCCTAAGGCCCTGAGGAATAAAAGAAGTCAAACAGTGTGAGTCATATTACTTGAGATAATGACTGTTCTGCCAGTGGAGACTGCCTCTCCCACCATCACGGCATGTTGGAGCCTGCTGATAGACATGTGTCAGACAACTTGCACGTATCACCGCCACCACCATCTTTTGATGGCACCACAATTTCACAAGAGTGCTGCTAATCCTTAAAGTGCTCATTTCCAGTCATTTAATGTTTAATCTTGGGTACCTCTAGATTAGTTTTGCACCCATCATAGCTCCAAATAGTTTGTAATTATTTCAGAACGATAAAACCCGAGAGCCTCTTCCTGAAAACAAGAGGATAGTTCATTAATGTGCACAACTCCTGTTGCCAGTGTTGCGTCAACATCCATTTCCTCACTGACATGTTTTCCCCCTAACCTGAATCCTAACGTCATCCTAACCACAACCACTGGGTGGGTGCAAAACTTGTATAAACTAAGTTGCTTCTGCATAGAAGTACTAGAACAGACATACACCTCATTTTTCAAGTTTCTGGTCACATTTATGATGATAATTCAACATTGTAGATAAGTCAGAAAACAAGGAAAAGCATGCCACGGGCTCTTTAAGAAAATTAAATGACCATCTACATTACTTACAGTAATTTAGTAAAATTATAGTCATTTAAGGCAAGGAACCCCTCTCCAACCCTTTAGCAAGCTTAAACAAAAACACTTTACTTTTATATTCTTTTACTCAGCTATTTTCTCAACTACTTTATCAGACTCACACGTATGGGCCTCTAACAGATGCTCATTCCCTTGACTACCCACACCTCTCTGAGGATTCAAACTATTCCAATTTAAACAGGAAACACTGCTATTGGATTGACGCCTATCACCTTTGACCCTCACTTCACTGTAAAGGAATCCTGGGGTAGTCTTGTAACCAGACTGTGTGAAGCTGTGTGAACTGATATCTTTAGCTGCAGAGACAGAGTGGGCCATGCAATCTTAAAGTTCCTCAGGGGGCTAATTAGAAACTCTATCCCAGTGATTCTCAAACTGTGGTACTCGCACCGTTAGTGGTACGTGAAGCTCCTCCTGGTGGCCTTAATGAAAGGCCCAACAATTGCACTCCACCTGGCACAAGTCCTCAACTTAAAACCAAAATATTGGCATTAAATGTTATTATAGACAACAGATATTACATATAGTAATCACATCAGAATGATGTAAAAAAAGTAGGTGATAATCATTTGATTATACAGTATTATGTTTTAGAACCATGGACAGCGCTGTTTGTTGTGTGTAGCAGGTACCGTGTATGTTGTTGTCTATATTACTAGAAATGGAGCAGAGGAGACTGATAGAGAGCGCACATCGCTTATTTTGGTTTCTCAAACTGCTTTCTTTTCATGGCTGTAAATAAAACTTTTGGCCATAATTCCATTCCCCCCACTGCTGCAATCCACAGGCTGAAAGGAAATGACAGGGACAGTCAAGGAGAGAGAGAGACAGCTGTATATGACGGACACTGTGACAGCTCCCAGAAGTAAAGCCATCTCGAGTCCATCAGCCTCTGATGGCTGGTTGCACTATGGCTAAGAGATATCATAAATCCTCCTCCATGTTAGAAGGGTCATGAGCCAAACCAAAAATTCAAAGTACAAATCAAATATATATTTTCCAGAGGTGATTTTGATCATTTTTGGTAGATATTATCACACTGATTTGTGTACAAGTCATTGTTCTTCTGGTAATTTTGTTTTTAAGTTATTCGATGATGGTTTACTGGAATAATGGCTGTGAAGTAATAGTTGTCCTGTAACTCAGGGCACCATAATCAGGGAACAGGGGCACTGTCTGATCACTAATGGGCCAAACTATCAAGGACTTAAATGTACAGAAAGCTGGGGCTCAAATAAAAGTACTGTCTCTTTGTAACAATCTGACATAACCGTTGTGCTATAAGAAGCAATAAATCAACTAGGTTAAGGCCTATTAAACTATATTAAAAGCACCTATGGATTTCTTTGTTATTTATCCCTTACTAAAGAATAAACTGATCTTTGTGTATAAATTGACATGTGTGTTTATTAGGAGAAGCCTTCTTGGGATTAATTATAGTGAATCTAATATAAACAGTAGTAATAGTAACCATGCTATCATAAACCCCTTACACAAAGCTTTAGCTCCCCTTAGTGGTGAATGCTTGGTATTGTTGCCTATTCTCACTTCAATTCATAGGTGAAGGGGGGGTGGAGGGGTATGGGTTATGTAATTGAATCTAATGAACTATAAAATCATTTGATGTACATAAAAAGCAGAAATGATGTGCCAGCACGTGTACAGGATACTTTGAGATGTAAAAAAAAAAAAATCTCTCTCTGCATTTGAGATCAAAATGTCAGTGTGTGCAAACATATCTGACATTTTGTTTCCTGCAGGTTAGGTTAGCTGGCACCTCTAAATTCCCTGTAGGTTGAATGGTTGTCTGTCTCTATGTGTCAGCCTTGTAATAGACTGGCAACTTGTTGAGGGTGTACCCCGCCTCTCACCCAAATTTCAGCAGGGAATGGCTCCAGGGGAGGGATGGGCAACCCTCTACAGGAAGAATGGTATAGATAATGGATGGAAGGATATGTATTTGCACATAGGGTATATCCAAGAGGATTATAATGGAGTTTCACTTTTTAATTACCTCTGCCACTGCCTAGAGACTCTTTCACCAAACATGTAAATGGTTTATAAATTATGATGCCTTGTTTTAAAACAAACCACAACAGTGAAAATCTATCACCAATTCAACCTGGTGCAATATTAGTAGTATTGAGGAGCATTTTGCACACTGCAGAGTAATCTATTACACTATAGTAATCAAACACACTCAAAGGAAACTACTTTTGCTTTTGATATTTTAAGCCCATTTTACTAAGAACACCTGTACTTTTAGGAATAAGTACTTTTACATCATACTACTTCTAAATTTTTTCGTTCATCACTTATGAGTGAAACCTTTTAAAGTACATATGTCCTCAAGTGTAATAAGAAAATATTTACTGTATCTGAGAAGCACATTTCCGAGTATTGTAGGTTATAATAGATTATTATTACTGAAGCATTCGTGTATTCAGTAGTGTGCTGTTATTTCAGCTTCATTCCTAACTGCACAGGAATTTGAGTAGTTAAATTACTTTTTTGCCATTTTTTGTGTCATTAACTACTGAAACTACAGACAATTTGGGGGTATAAAAAGAACGTTTTCTTTTTATTTTACCATGTTGCATGTGAGTGATTTTTCAGCACTGACAAGGACATTTTTGGTGCTAAACAGAACTACCTCTTGGCTAAAAACCTGAGAGACTGTTCATGTGTCATATAAACAAGAGATTCTGCTCTGACAAGTAAAAAAAATATGCCCATTGTTTAGACCAGTGGTCAAGCTATTACTCTCTAAAAAGGTGCAAGTGCAATCTCCTTGTAAAAAGCCTGGGTGGGATTGTTTTAGTACAGGATTGGCTAACAGGTAATAAAATCAGCTGATTTGCAGTTTTTGATGGCATGTGACCTATTTGTATTTTATTTGTATTTGTGTTTTGTATTATATTTTGTTATAATTTCTACTTTTTATAAGTATCTTTAGTTAACCAAACTAGATTTTTCCCCAAAAGGTAGCTTTGCAATACAACAGTTCAACTAACAGTGTCAAGTAAATGGTAGCTTGCAAAGTGATGTTACCAGCTTCCCCAGCATCGCTACTTTATATACTGTTGGGTACATAAAACTATAACACATCATATTTTATAAGCGGATCATATATTCTGTATTAAACAAGCAATTACAGATTACTGGTGGAACATGTACATTTACTTAAGTAATACTTAGTATAACTACAGTACTGAGACACATGTAATTTAGCACTTTGAATTTATACTTTTATTCCACTACCTTTTATTCTAATACATCTATCTGACAACTGTAACTAGCTCATTTGCTGATAAAGACTTCATTTATTAAACATGATCATCTTATTAAATATAACCAATATAGATTATTAAACCACCTGGCAACAACTACAGCAATACAATGCTGTATGAGTAGGCTAAGAATGATACATTTATGTAGGCCTACAATAACAGGCTATACAATTCACATGAGTCTTTTCTGCATAAAGAGTGGTCTACTTATATAAGGTTCTGAAAGCAGGATGTGTATTCTAAGTATTAGTGATGTAGACCTACTGCATTTTACTTAATTAAAAGAATGAACAGATGAATACTTCCACCACCACTGCTACAGATACCAAATACAATGTACTGAAGTATAAAGTGCATTTTCCTTTGAAATGCAGTAAAGTATAAAGTAGCTAGCATTAATAGAAATAGTTAAGGACAGTACAAGTAGGCTACCTCTGTTGTACTTATAGGCTACTTCAGTAAATGCAGCCCTCTTTGTTAATTTCCACTTCTGGTCTTTGAATATATTTTTAGCTTTTGGAGACTGGACACTTTAACTGGAGTGAGACCAGAAATGGGCGGCAACCTGGAAGCAGCCTTTTACTCCCGGTACAGTGTGCACAGGAAATATCAAGTAGTAGGCTACTGTACACAAAACAGGAAACAACAAGCACGGCAGCGTTATTAACTAAAGGAGCAACGACTGAACTAACTTGTTTACTTACTGTTAATAATACGATAGCTTACAGCCCTGTGTTTGTCTAAACCAAAGTAATAGTAGTCTAATAGACATACTGTATTTAAGGTAGGTAGGTAGGACTTTATTAATCTCACAATAGGGAAATTCCTGTGTTCCAGGATGGAAGTAAACAACAGCCAATACACCCCCTCCATGATGAAACCTGTTAGTGTCCACGCTTGTCTATTCCATAAATCTAGCTTTTCTAACCAAATAAATCGACGGTTAACTACAGAATGCAATAAATTACATTAAAGTACGTTAGTGTCGATGCCAGCTACTCGGCTGTTTACGTGAATCCGAAAAGACACGAAGTGTAAAACCCGTCCCATTACAGTGCCGTCGCCCACCCGCCGCGGGAAGGAGGTAGGTTAGAGCCGCTAAATGAAGGCATTGTTGACACTTAGGAGCCGAGACAGCCTGCGGGAGCCCTGGCCTTCCTATTTCAAATTTACACCGTGAGGCTGGAGAAGCGCTTAATCATTTGTTCTGTCACCAGGGAATGTTGCGGACCGTATGGGGACTGCGTGACAAGGAGCTACGGCGCCGAGCACGAACGGATACATTTAGAGGTTGATGATCTGCATGTGGTACCGAGTAGGGAAGCCAACAAAAGTAAACACATTGAGTTTTCTCTATAGCACAACCCTAGAAACACACGTTTACATTAAAAGAAGAAAAAGGCGGTGCCTGCTAATTCCTGGAAAAGGACAAACCTCCGACCAAAATGGCACATCTATCGTCTGTAGGATGGGTTTTATTCGCTGAAGTTGTTCAGACTTGAGCTATAAGCAGCGAGATAGGACGCTTGTCTAACATTATCAGTAAAGGACCTCCTGTTTTATGCGTTCGACAGACAGCCAATCAAATCTGTTATTCAAACAGATGCTCTTGTGTCAGTGACCTGTATCTCATGCATGTGCGCACAGATCCAACAGTAACCTCTCCAACAGATCAGAGAGCATGGGGCTCAAGGGGTTAGACAGTCAAGCGCAGCCGTCTAGCGGAGTTTCCCAGACGGAGCAGCCGGATGCAGACCCTCAGATGGAGCAGGGAGATGCTCCCCAAGAAGCAGAGAGGAACAAGAATGACCAAGCGGCAGACAGCGAGTGCAAAATCGTGCAAGAAGAACGCACCGTGCAGATGATCGAGGCCAGGTGCAAGCCGCCCCTTTCCCCGGTATGTGATTCCGAGGCAGGTGTCCAGGGTGAGAACCACGGCCAAGTAGCCAGATTCGTTCCACCCGAAGGAGGTTTCGGCTGGCTGGTGGTTTTTGCTTCCACTTGGTGCAATGGTTCAATCTTCGGGATTCAGAACTCTTTCGGCATCCTGCATATGATGCTAGTGAAGGAGCATGCAGACCCAGATGACAAAACGTCTCAGTTCAAAGTGGGTGAGTAGCAGACTGCCTGCTGACGTGCGCTTGACCGTGAGATTAAACATTGTATCAAGCATATTTGCTCTGGATGCATGCTTGGTTAGCCTACAATCGCTGCAAAACCAACCAACCAACGGTAGAAAAAGTGCATCTCCAGTGGGTGGCTATCACAGAAAAGATCTTTTGTATGATGTATAGGCTGCTATATATATATATATATGTATGTATGTGTGTGTGTGTGTGTGTGTGTGTGTCACACCTGCAGCAGTCTAAAAAAAAAGATGTAGGTCAGTTCAGAGTTCAAGTGGCTTTACCCTGTGCTTAAAGTGGCAGGCTAACCATAGTGTGAAATGACACATGTGCCTTTCAAATACATTTACTCTCAAACTACCCCTTACCAGGGTTAATTTGTGCCTGAACAAGTCAGATCTCAGATTGTGACCAATGTTACACCGAAATTTGTGACCCATTAGATTTTGTGACCACAGGGCCCCTGTTGCACATTGTTTAATCATTTGTTGCGTCAACAGTGAGCCAGAAGAAAGCTTGCATGGCCCATCAGAAATGGTGACCTCTGTAGTATTGACTCTGTCATGGTCACAAATGAGAACAGATGTGTACAAAATGATTGACAGAGATGCAAAAACAAACAATTTGATGTTTTAATTGGTTATTGTAGAGGTAGAGTAAGGTCACATATTCTGATGGGAAAAGGTGACCTGTGTTTTTCTGGTTCTGTGTTGATCCCATACTTGAATACCTTTGCCTAAAGGAAGGAGAGAGGTTGACGCAGCAGCAGAAAACATTTTGTTGGCGATTGACAATTGTTTTGCCGATACAGTAGAGTGACATCTTGGAGTGATTAACCTGGTCAGCCAAAGTTAATGGTGCCTTTCTTGATAGAAAGCAATAACATTTACTTCTACTCTATACATCAACAGGTCACATGGACTGGGCAAACAGAGGCAGTTGAATCACACCAGTAGAAGTGGAAGCAATAGGGTTACACTTGGACTAGTTTATGCCGTTATGTACACACTCTTCTGGTCACAAATCTGACCGGTCACAGATTTTGGTGTAACACCAGCACCTATTTTGACTGACCCGGCACCTTGTTTACACGAATAAATTATAAAAAAGTCCCAGGTCTAATACTTTTGTACAACTATCCTTTTACAAGAGCATATTAGGCTAAAATTATTATAATGAAAAGCAATAACAACAGGCAGTTGGACTAATTATGTCACAACGTAACCAGCCCGCACAGGTGACACTGGGTCAGCTGCACATCAGAAGCAGCTGACCCATTCTGTATTCAAGCTGGACCTGGTTATAAAGCCTACAACTGTTGATGAAAAGGTTAGTACAAGCCAGTCTGATGCTGAGGTCCTGGATTTCAGAAGGACTGAAGCAAAGCATGGAATAACAGGAAAGAGGATTCCTGCCCCATGGCTGTGTTATAGACTGTTTAAAATACCTGATGATAAAAACATGTTTATTTAACCTTACTACATTACATAGTCTTTGGTGTGCTTTAAATTTGTTGCTGCAATATTATAAATATAATGTTAATGTATAGTGAGGCCCCAAATATAACTTTAACTTTATTGTCATTGTACAACGAAATTAAAAAAAAGCAATCCTTCGATGATAAAAAATAATCATAAACAATAAAACCCAACAAATTTACACACTCGCATCCATACACATCTGACTATTGCACAGTTCCCGTAAGATCCCATCAATCATTCAAATTTTAAGGTTTTATCAGCATTTAAAGCAACAATAGCTCTCGGATAAAAACTGTTTCTTAATCTGTTTGTCCTTGCTATAATTGTTCTGTATCTTCTCCCCGAAGGCAGCATTCAAACAGACAATGTTCAGGGTGTGATGGGTCCTGCAGAATGTTTTGTGCTTTTTTCAAGCAACGGGAACTGTACAGTTCTTCCAGAGATGGTAGGGGGCAACCGATAATCTTCTGGGCTCTGGTAATAACCCTCTGGAGCGTTCTCCTGTCTGCAGCTGTGCAACTGGCGAACCAGGCACAGACACAGTATGTTAAAATGCTCTCTATTTAGCAGTTATAGAAGGACACCAGCAGTTTCTCATTCAGATTGTTTTTCTTCAAAAGACTGAGAAAATACAATCTCTGCTGGGCCTTCTTCACCAAAGCAGTGGTATTTGCGCCCCAAATCAGGTGCTGCTCAAAGGTAACACCCAAGAACCTAAAGACGGCCACCCTCTCCACCTGATCTC